GGGTTTTGGGGGATTCTTTCAGGACCAGTGGTTCGCCGGGCCCTGGCCCGACGCCTTCCCTCAAAACATCTCCTCCGCGCTCCACGAGATATATCCCGTGACCGTAGCCTGCGCGCTGTGGAGCCATACGTGGCAGAGGAAAAGGATTTCCGTGATGTGCGACAACCTCGACGTTGTCGAAATAATCAACAGAGGTCGTTCATCCTCTCCCCAAATCATGACTTTTCTTAGACGTATCACATGGCTCTCAGTCCTGAACAATTTTATTATCACTGCTCGTCACGTCCCTGGTCACCTTAATTGTCTCGCTGATTCTCTCTCTCGTTTCAAATTCCAGGAGTTCCGACGCCTCTGCCCTTCTGCCAACCCATCGCCATGCCAGATCCCCTGCATGGAATCCCTCGCCCTGGACTAATCCCTCCGTCTCTTCGCCTCCTCATCTCCTCCGCGGCATCCTACATGAAGATGGGCCTCTCACCTTCCACTCTGAAATCATACAGTTTCGCTTGATCCATGATGCACTACACTCGCCTCCGCTCACGGAAAGGAGATCTCAACGGACCGTTATTTCTCACTCTCGATAACCTCCCGATGTCCTCCAACTGGTTCAGAGCCCAACTCAAGTCTGTACTGCTGCTTTGTAACCTGTCTCCCTATCTCTACACAGCCCACTCCTTCAGATAGGCGCCGCCACGCGTGCCGCGTCCCTGGGTCTCCCCCATTCTGCCCCTCAGCAGTTGGGCCGCTGGTCATCATCGGCCCTCTCCTCATACATCAGGCCTGACACTCCGACTATCCTCGCAGCCCAGCGCCTCTTGGCATCTCCATAAATCACTCGCAAAACTCCTGGTGGCGGCAGCAGCTGAGTATCCGCTATAACGATCACAGCATATAACGGTCACAACACATAACGGTCACAGCATATAGTGATAGCGGTCATAGCGTTAGTGATAGCGGTCATAGCGTTAGTGATAGCGGTCATAGCGTCAGTGATAGCGGTCATAGCGTCAGTGGTAGCGGTCATAGCGTCAGTGGTAGCGGTCACAGCGTTAGTGTTAGTGGTCACAGCATAGCAAAAAATGGTTAGCGCATAAACGGTTCACAGCATAGAGATAGCGGTCACAGCATAGCGATAGCGGTCACAGCATAGCGATAGCGGTCACAGCATAGCGATAGCGGTCACAGCATAGCGATAGCGGTCACAGCATAGCGATAGCGGTCACAGCATAGAGCAGCCACGACGTCTGTCCCCTGCAAACCAGGCTGCAAAACTCCATCAACTCACAGCCTTTTTGGGGATTCTACGCGCCCCAGCGCAGGAGCCTCCCCGAACTGAAGGCCGCACCGGGGCCTAGGACGCCAAACCACCTCTCATTAAAAATACTCCAAAGCATTCTTGTTTCTCGTCTCTCCAAATTGAAATGTAGCTCGCGAAAATTCAATTTAGAAGACGTCAGCCAAAGCCGGGCCGACTCACATCCTCAGCCTATCGCGCAGCAAACGCCCCCTTCCAATCACACCATGCCGGACAGACCAGCCGCTTAAAAGCGGAGCAACTCCCACTACGGCCTCCCGAAGCCTCGCATCCACCGCCTCCCCTCCTCCTCCTCTTCACCCTGCCTCCAATCTGCCTCCAAATCTGCTTCACGCTGCCAAAAACGCCGCCACCAGTACCTAGGCCCCGGGGGGATTCTACGCGCCCCAGCGCAGGAGCCTCCCCGAACTGAAGGCCGCACCGGGGCCTAGGACGCCAAACCACCTCTCATTAAAAATACTCCAAAGCATTCTTGTTTCTCGTCTCTCCAAATTGAAATGCAGTTTCAATGAGGTACAGGTTCCATTGTTCCAAAAACAGACAGTTTCAAACTCACATCCACAATGAAGTTTATCACATAGAAGCAGCACATTGCACTGTCAAAAAACTGTTGGGCCTAAACCATAGACTGTAAATATTAACAAATGTAGTCACGCCTATCTCCACCGTTCAAACAAATGGGCCAAAAATTGTGCGAAGAGCCAGATTTTGGACCATCCTGTAAAGACGTTTTCGAGAGGTAAGAAGATGCTATACGTTAGCATTAGCTAATTCTTATTCCGGGTCCACCCCCATTGGCCCGGGGTGGTATAGAATGTCAGCGCACGTCATTTTGGCCACTTTTGAGCCGGGACCCGCCCCCACTGGCCTTAACCCAGGTCAGCTTCCACATTAATACCCACAGGTTCCCCCCACAGTCCTTCAAAGGAACTGCTCTTTACCTGGCCCCACCAAAACACACATACAAAATAAAGCATAGGTGCCCACCAAAAAAACAATAGGTTTAGTGTTCTCTTTGGAAAACAAAACAAAACGGCCTTTACACACATATACTAACGGCTTATTAAACGAGCACGAGGTCTATACCGAGAAATATCAGACCGCTGCCTTTTTGTAGAGACCGAGCCGTGGCGAGCAGGGTTACTATTGCAACAACACATCATCAGTTCACTTTGGAGAGACCCAAGAGGGAAAATGCAGTTAGAAGTTTGTTGATTGAGTATGTTTGGCGCCCTAGGCCCGGGAGAGATGCTGATGAGTGCGGCGCTTGCTCGCGGACCGAAGGCAAAGGCGAGGTAAATAATTTTGTTTAGTTATAGTTACTATATTTTTATTTATGCCATTAACATCTCCGACTTGGTTTTCCTAATCGTGTTTTTTACCTTTTCTGGTCTGCAACAAAGTTGTCAATCTCTTCATACTGTTAGGATTGTGTTTTCGGCGTTATTCTGCTTTGATTTACTTCCTCTGGCTCTTCCAAAAAAAAACAACTCGCCGGAATAATTAGAATTCACTGAGAATGCACATAGTCTTCGCCCATTATATTATTATTTTACCGGAGGAAAAGATACTCAAATGTGATACGCTGCTTGCGGACGTCAATTGTCATGGAAAAGGTCCCAGATGGGAAAATATCAGGACCCGAAATCAGAGCGCTGCGTACGGTCCAAGTCATGGGGGTTAAAAAAAACACTGTATTTAACTTTTTTTATCCCCCCCCACTTACTTTTTTTTTTTCTCCTTCACCCTGGGTGGATATATTTACTTTATTAACAACATGGTATTTGATATGGTTTAATATTTGTGACATAAATTGGATCGTGTTTTACTACTGCATGTGAGGTGTGGCAACCAAGTTATTGCCCCCGCGACCCGGCAACGAATGACGTGAAGAAAATGGAATGGAATGGAGGTGTGGAAAACAAGTTATTAAGATAAAATACTAATAAACTTTTTTGATTTGGGTGAGTACTTTGTCAACTGTAAGAAACCTACTGACTTCAAAGATCATTAAGATTAGGGCTGTCAAAATTGTCGCGTTCATCCAGGAGCGGCTTAGTTTAATTTTTTTTGACTAATTCACTTCATTAGTAAATTTCTCTGGATCAAGAAATGCATCTGGATAAAACAAGGATAAAAATGTTCCGCCGTCCACGATTTTACAACTATTTTCGCTGAAAACGTGATTTTCTGTTAAATGTGTACCCGCGTGGGCACTTTCTGTTGATTGACATACTCCGAAGAACGGCATTCACATCATCCGCTCTGAGACCAGGCATCTTTGGCCGCTTGAACCAATACGCCGCGGACAGACCATAGAGCGCTGGCGGACATGGACCTAACCGCTGCAGGGAGGACTGACCATAGAGCCGACGGACTGGCCATAGAACGCGAGGGCAGGACACATAGAGCCGCGGACTGGACCTGGACGCGGGCAGCATAGACGCCGCGACTGGACCATAGACGCCGCGGCCTGGACCGTAGACGCCGGGGGGGGGGGGGGGGGGGGGGGGACTGGACCCGTAGAAGGCGAGGGCAGGACCATAGAACGCCGCGACAGGACCATAGACGCCACGGCTGACCATAGACGCCAACGGACTGGAGTATAGATGGGGCCGGGGGGGGGTGGGGGGGGGGGCCCCGGATAGACACAGACGCCGCGGACGTGACCATACACGCGAGGGCAGGACGCAGAGAAGCCGCGGGCCGGGCAATAGATGCACTTCAAAACCATCCTAGTTTGTTGCAGAGTGCGGTCTCCCCTTGTCTCGCCCACGAAGACAACAACCAAACTCACAAAATTAAAGCACCGGGTACCAACATTTTAACCCATGCATTAACAATGCATGTTGGTTGAGCACCAAAGTAAAATGATGTGAACAAATCAGCAAGAGGGAACAGAGCCCTGGGAGTCGGTATTTGAACTTTTTTGGGTAGAAGAGTGGTTTTATTTATAAATTTTTCTACACATATAAGGTGACCACTTTGTTGCCTGAACTCTTGTTTAACACATTGTATTGAGAACTTTGGGGGTCGAGTAACTTTTGACATTGGCAAGTAAAATAAAATTGGATTTTTTTTTAATGTTTTTTTTATTTTTTTTTTTTTTTTGTTTTTTTTTTTTTTTTTTTATTTTTTTTTTTTTTTTTTTTAATGTTTTTTTTTTTTTTTTTTTTTTTTTTTTGTTTTTTTTTTTATTTTTTTTTTTTTTTTTTTTTTTTTCTAGCACGACAAAGCTTAATGTAAAGGCCGGTATATAAAATATAATATATACACTGCTCGCCATTTGTGTAATGTACTAATTGGTAAATAGGGCTGGCAATAAAATCTGAATTTAGGCAATTAATCGGCTTTGAAAGAAAATCGAATTTTGAAAAATGTTAAAATCGTGAAATTGAATGAAGGGATATTGTGAAGTTCCAGCATCATAATTGCATATCAGCACAGTCAGTATCAAGACTTTTATAATTATGTATTAGGGAAAACAAATTAAAAAATAATTTTTGAAACTAAATATTGAGCGGCCTTTATCAAAAAAAATATTTTTAAAGGGCAAAGTCTGATCTTGGGTGATTTGAAAATCGAGTTAAATATCGAATCGTCCAAAGCAGGAAATACAATCGAGATAAGATAAAGAGCACAGAGACTCCTGGATGCGATCTCTGAGACTATATGGTCCCGACAGAAGGCTGCACTGAGGAACCAGATCACAGCTCTGCAACAGGAGCTGCAGCAAGGAGCAGCAGAGAAGGAGGTCACTGAGGGATCAGGTGACCCAACTCCAGGTCGATCTTGATGAGAGAAACCAAGCCACCGTCACAGCCCAGAGACATGTGGAGCAGTTAGAGACAGAGACGCAGAAGCTGTCAACAAAATGGACTCTCTGCCCTGAACCAGAGAAGAGTCTCACCATGAAGCTGAGCGCAAACTGCAGGAGAAGGAGAGAGAAGACCACGACGCTAAGAATCAAGTGTCCGCCCTAAGATCTGCCCTGGACCAGAGAAGCATGCCACCAAGAGGCCCGGACTGACGCCAGACTCTCTGCTCGCAGCTGGTAGAGGAGCTCCAAGAGAAGCTTCAACTGACAGGAGCAAGATACAGGCCTTCAAGCACAGTGTGAGAATGGGGGAGGGTCCCCGAATGAGCACAACAAGGAGCTGGAGGACAAAGAGTGTGAGATCCATCATCTGAAACAACAGAAGGCATATTGCCCCCCTTTTTTCATGAAAAAAAAACACAAGTGGAGGAAGCCCCGAGAAGATGTTGTGGGCAGAGAATCGCAGACCTTAAAGATCGCCAACTTTGACCTTGAGGTGATGAAAAGCTACCAACAAACGCCAGGCCCCTCCAGGATACCAGAGGTCCGAAGAAGAAAAAAAGGTCTGAAAGGTCAGGTGACCGAAGCTCCGACAGGTCCTGCTCGATGAGAAACAAGAGACTGAGGAATTTGTGGAGTAAGGAGAGGAACTAAAAGAACAATAATGAAAATACTACGGAACTCCCTGCCAGCCAACAGAGACGTCAAAGAAAGTCCGCACGTAGAAGCTTCAGCAGCTCCACCGAGAACAGCTGTGTTCAGAGAAACAGAGCTGGCTGGATTCTGGAGCACGCAGTGCAGAAGCTGTCTGAGGACCCTGACCTCCTCTCAGGACATTCAACACGCTCTGGAGCTCCCGGTTCATGAGCTCCAGACAAAGTCAACACGTGGCTGCACAAGAAGAATAGGAGGAGGAGTTGAGTGTGATTCTAAAACAAACCCAACATTAGTGTTTAGACGTGGTGTTCAGCTAGCATCACGCTAACATGACCTAAACTAGATTCTTTGTCTTGTCGATTCATAAGTGACTTTAAGGAGGTATGATCTTAAGTCAGAGAACAAACAGGGTACCTTCGAAAGTATTGAACCTTTCAACATTTCGCAACATTTCAAGCTTACAACAGAAGAATTTTTTTTTTTTTTTTAAATGTCACGAAGTCAACAACAAGTCGGGCTACACAATCTTGAAGTGGAACAAACCGTATTGGTAATTTAATTTTAAACTTTTTTAACAAATAAAAAACTGAAAAGAGGAGCTCCAAGAGAAGCTTCAGACTGGACAGGAGCAGATACAGGCCTTCAAAGCACAGTGTGAGAATGTCCAGAATGAGCACAACAAGGAGCTGGAGGACAAAGAGTGTGAGATCCATCATCTGAAACAAGCAGAAGGCTTCTGCTTTTTCTGCACAAGTGGAGGAAGCCCGAGAAGATGTGTGGGCAGAGATCGCAGACCTTAAAGTCGCCAACTTTGACCTTGAGGTGATGAAAAGAGACAATCGAACCCAGGCCCTCCAGGATACCCAGAGGTCCGAAGAAGAAAAAAAGTCTGAAAGGTCAGGTGACCGAGCTCAGACAGGTCCTGCTCGATGAGAAACAAGAGACTGAGAATTTGTGGAGTAAGGAGGAGGAACTAAAGAGCAACAATATGAAAATACTACGGAACGTCCTGCCTGCAACAGAGACGTCAAAGAAAGTCCTCACGGAGAAGCTTCAGCAGCTCCACCGAGAACAGCTGTGTTCAGAGAAACAGAGCTGGCTGATCCTGGAGCAGCAGGTGCAGAAGCTGTCTGAGGACCTGACCTCCTCTCAGGACTACAACACTGCTCTGGAGCTCCAGGTTCATGAGCTCCAGGACAAAGTCAACGGGCTGCACAAGAAAAAGAGGAGGAGGAGTTGGTGGTGTTTCTAAAACAAACACAGACATTAGTGTTAGACGTGGTGTTCAGCTAGCATCACGCTAACATGACACTAAACTAGATCTTTGTCTTGTCGAGTCATATGTGACTTAAGGAGGTATGATCTTAGTCAGTGAACATACAGTGCCTTGCAAAAGTATTGAACCTTTCAACATTTCAAGCTTCAAACATAAAGATAAAAAAAATTAAAACAAATGTCAAGAATCAACAACAAGTGGGACACAATCATGAAGTGGAACGAAATTTATTGGATAATTTAAACTTTTTTAACAAATAAAAAACTGAAAAGTGGAGCGTGCAATATTATTCGGCCCCCTTGCGCTAATACTTTGTAGCGCCACCTTTTGCTGCAATTACAGCTGCAAGTCGCTTGGGGTATGTCTTATCAGTTTTGCACATCGAGAGACTGGAATTCTTTCCCATTCTTCCTTGCAAAACAGCTCGAGCTCAGTGAGGTTGGATGGAGAGCATTTGTGAACAGCAGTCTTCAGCTCTTTCCACAGATTCTCGATTGGATTCAGGTCTGGACTTTGACTTGGCCATTCTAACACCTGGATACGTCTATTTGTGAACCATTCCATTGTAGATTTGGCTTTATGTTTTGGATCATTGTCCTGTTGGAAGATAAATCTCCGTCCCAGTCTCAGTTCTTTTGCAGACTCCAACAGGTTTTCTTCCAGAATGGTCCTGTATTTGGCTCCATCCATCTTCCCATCAATTTTAGTCATCTTCCCTGTCCCTGCTGAAGAAAAGCAGGCCCAAAGCATGATGCTGCCACCACCATGTTTGACAGTGGGGATGGTGTGTTCAGGGTGATGAGCTGTGTTGCTTTTACGCCAAACATATCGTTTTGCATTGTGGCCAAAAAGTTTGATTTTGGTTTCATCTGACCAGAGCACCTTCTTCCACATGTTTGGTGTGTCTCCCAGGTGGCTTGTGGCAAACTTTAAATGAGACTTTTTATGGACATCTTTGAGAAATGGCTTTCTTCCTGCCACTCTTCCATAAAGGCCAGATTTGTGCAGTGCACGACTGATTGTTGTCCTATGGACAGACTCTCCCACCTCAGCTGCAGTTCATCCAGAGTGATCATGGGCCTCTTGGCTCCATCTCTGATCAGTCTTCTCCTTGTTTGAGATGAAAGTTTGGAGGGACGGCCGGGTCTCTGTAGATTTGCAGTGGTCTGATACTCCTTCCATTTCAATATAATTGCTTGCACAGTGCTCCTTGAGATGTTTAAAGCTTGGGAAATCTTTTTGTATCCAAATCCGGCTTTAAACTTCTCCACAACAGTATCTCTGACCTGCCTGGTGTGTTCCTTTGTCTTCATGGTTATCTCTGCGCTTTAACCCCTTGAGCTCGCGGGCAAACGAGAAAAAAAGTACTTCTGCTGGCAATAGCAGATGTATTTCGAACTTCATAATCCACAAGAGAGGTTCCATGAAAAGATAGGAGCAGTTTTCAGTCCGCAGGACCCTTGTGAAAAAGACGAACCGCATCCACTTGCACAGGGTCCTTTTTCCCTTGTTGTTGATTAGCATGGCTAGCACAATGAGCTAGCTCTGAATGATTGATGTGTCTGAGTAGCCAAAAGTTATTTTTCCCCAAAATTTGACATTTTAAAATTTGCTCCTGTTTATTCATACAAAGTTCGATTTGCCCTCTGCGCTGTGGCCCCCACTTCTCCTGAGCAGGACAGTCCAGTGGATCGTCCCTCCATCTCTTTTCTTGACCTTGTGAGTCCGGTGCAGGACCCTAACCCACCTGAGGTTATCCAAGAACCTCCTGCTCCAGAAACCCCAAATCTCCAACACTTTTACAGTCGTTCAGAATCTGTCTGTTCACTAGAGAAAGCCGTTCCATCAGAGTCCCAAGAGTCTCCATGCCCCCCATGTAAGTAAGTAAGTAATCTTTCTTTATATGCCGCCTTTCACAGACCAGAGTCACAAAGCGGTTTACAATTGTTAATTTTGGGCACTTGTCTCTCACTCCACACAGAGATGGGAGCGGGGTCGCCAAACAGGAGGCGCATGCCAGAACTATTGTACATATTTTTAGTGGTAGGGGAAACCGGAGTACCCGGAGGAAACCGGAGTACCCGGAGGAAACCTACGCAGACACGGGGAAAACATGCAAACTCCACTCAGAAAGGCCCTGGTCCGACCAGGAGTCGAACCCAGGACCTTCTTGCTGAGAGGCGAGAGTGCTATCCACTCAGCCACCGTGCTGGGAACCATCTCCTCAGCCCTGCTCCAGAGTGACTGGTTTGTGGAGGCAGCGGTGAGAAATCTCAATTTCCAACTCAAAGACTTCAGTGACGAGGACTGAGGCAGACGACCAGGACACTTCTTCTATCGAGTGTTTAAAATGTTCAGGATCAGGAGGAGCAGAGTGTCGACTGGTCATACCTCAGATCCACATCCTAAAAACACATCACTCCTGCCTGAAGTCATCTTCACTTACTGTAGGAGGTCACAGCAGAAGGGCTGGGAACAAAAAAAACAAAATTAAGACAAACAAAAAAAAGCATGAAAAAATACAAAAATACCAAAATTAAATAAGGTTGAATTAATGAAATTCAACAAAAACAAAGGACATACATTGAAAAAAGGGCTGGCTACAAAATAATGTATTTAAGACTAAAAATAAAGCATGAGAAATGAAAGAAAGCACATCACTCCTGCCTGAGGTCACCTTCACTCACTGTAGGAGGTCACAGCAGAAGGGCTGGGAGTACATAATTAAGACAAAAAAGGGGAAAAAGCATTGAAATTTTAAAATCAAATTGGGAAAAACAAGGCTCATTTAAATATCACATGGAATAATGTAATATTTAAATGTAAAATGGCATATTGTAAAAGTGCAGATTTTATCGTATTGACTTGAAAAAATATTCACAACCAAATTGGGAAAAACAAGGCTTAAACCAAGGCTCATGGTATAGCTTAAGAATGCTGATTTTTAAGATATGCCTAGGCTTTGTTGAGCGGAAAAATAAAATAAAAATTGGAATGGGGGGGAATAAAATAAAAAAATATGAAAAATGAAAATGTGTGTCCTGTTTATTTTGTTTGTGAGTTTCGTCAAATGCACTCGGTACATTTATCTGTGGTTATTGTGGGGGGTCTGGCTCCTGAACCTGGTGGAGTTTTACCTATTTTACCTATCTTTCTGTGTGTGTGTGTGTGTGTGTGTGTGTGTGTGTGTGTGTGTGTGTGTGTGTGTGTGTGTGTGTGTGTGTGTGTGTGTGTGTGTGTGTGTGTGTGTGTGTGTGTGTGTGTGTGTGTGTGTGTGTGTGTGTGTGTGTGTGTGTGTGTGTTCAGATGGGTCACATGTTATTGATACTGTGTGTCGCAAAAGTACTAACACAGCTTGACAGAGAAAAACAGAAAAATGAAAGCAAAATTACCAGACAATTTCCGAGATTGTGCTGTACTTTTTCTCCATCCACCGTTCCATCAACTCTGACACTCTACCCTGACCCTGCAGAAAAAAAGCAGCCCCTTTACAACACATAAAAGCATATTCCACATACTCTATCAGACACCTAATTCTGGGTGGTACTATCAAGTCCTAGTTTCGTTCTGATTCAGACTTAGGTCCTGGTTCAGTCCTGATTGAGTCCTGCTTTAGTCCCGGTTCAGTCCTGGTTACCTCCATCACCTTTCCGCCGCTGACTCCCTGCTCTCCCTTTGACTGGTGATGAGCAGAGCGTGTTCCTGACTTTTTTTTATCTGTAAAAAGCACACGTTTCGAGACGTTCTGACCCCGTTCTGAACAAAGCCTCACGTCGAGCCGACAGAAGAGAAAAGACCACGCATTTACTCTTCAAATGTGGCTGAAACGTGCTCTGCTCCCCAAAGAGACCCAACCACATGCTCCCATTATGGAACTCTAATGGCCAACTCTAATGATCAAAGCAATGTATTGATTGAAGGAAGCGAGGCCAATTCTGGTTATGATTAAAATAACACCAACTGCTGTGATATGTTTATAGCAGAAAGGTCCTGTTTGGAGAGTGGAATCGAACCCAGGACCTACTGAAGAACGAAGAAGGCCATTTAGTTCACCAGACTTTTCCAGGGTCCGACAAGATGGATGTTAAAACTATTTCTACTGGATTCAGACTATTTCAATTCAATTCATTTTTGTACAGCCCCATTGATCGCGGAGGACTTTACAAAACCGTCGATTCGCAAACACAGATCAGAGAATCAAAGAGTTCAAAGACAGGAATTTTAATGATAAAAAACACATGAAGGGGCAGAGACCAATGTCCATAAATGTTGATTTATTTTTGGGGGCTTTAACACGGGTTACAAAGTCCATATGGATTAACTCTACAGCTACAATAGCGCCGAGATTTTGGGACTCAATCAAAAAACAAATGTCAGTACATATATTTACAGTTAACGGTTGGATTGCAGAGGTCCTGAGCTTTACAGCGAGTTATAGCGGGACTCTATGGATCTGGATGACACTAAAACCACCTCAATGCCTCCACAGCCGTAGCATATGGCCTTAATTATCCAGATTTCCAAATAGATAATTATATGACTGAACTAAACCAGGACTAAACCTGCGCTCATCAGACTTCGTTATCAGTGCTTGCATAAAGTTAAGGTTCGTGCAGCAGCCCTCCTCCTCCCCACCACCGCCTCTTCAGCAGAGAATCTTCATGTTATCGGCTCTATTTCTTTCATCACCAGGGGTCAGGGCCTTGGGGGTTCGCACGTTCATAATCTCGTTTAAATTCCCTCCTGGACAAATGAATATTTCATGTTCAAATGCAATAACTATATTAGTACATCAAGTATCTGCCTGGTCTGCTTATCTAGTCATGCAGCGACAATGTCATGATTGGATTGAGAATTAACTGATTCCAAATTGCAAGAACACACTTAAAGAAAAGTCTGGACCTTTTTCTGCTCTAAGTAAATGAGATAGTAATAAAGAAATAACAGACATATGACCATGGAACAGCTGATCATATCTAAATCTCTAACTTTAATAAAGAAGCCACAATGTTGTATGTATTCTAGTGCAACACATGAGTGGACACTTGTGGTTCTGTATTGCACATTCTGACATGAGATCAGATTATTGCACAGATGCACAACATGTGAGGTCAGATCAAGTGTTTTTGTCCTCATTGTTTGCCGTACAGTCTGACAGCAGCTGGGTCTTGCATGTTTTATTTCAAATCCATTGCGGTGGTGCAGAGACTAAAAAGTATGAGAATTGTGTACTTTATTTAGACCTAGAAAAATAATGTTATATTGGGCTTGTTCACACTAAGGCCCCGACTCCACCGGGCGCGTAAAACGGACGACGGATCCGTCCAAACATGTCCGTTTCATCTCCGTCTCCGTTATCTCCATGAGGGTGAATGGAAGTGGCTCCACTGCCTCCGCATGCTTCTGTCTGACGCACGTTGGACGTATTCCGTTGACGGAGGGTGCAACGGACGCGGACGGACGAAATAGAAACAATCCTATTTGTTCCGTCCGTCGACGCGTGTCGGGTCCGTTTTCCATTGAAAATACAATGGAATAATATATTTACAACATTGTTAAACATGTATTGATATGCTGTAGTCCTTGGTTATAAGTATTTGTTAATGACAATGATTATTAACAAACGTGTGTAATGTTTTTCATGTATTAATTTAAATAATTGTTTCCTGATCGTACATCTACCATTTGTTTTTCGCGTAATGTTAATACGCTAATCTTTACATGCACCTCGCTCTTTTTTCTCTCGCTCTGTCCCCTCTACCTCCGAGGCGCTCTCTCCTCACCGCCGCGCGCTCCCACACACACACACACACACACACACACACACACACACACACACACACACACACACACACACACACACACACACACACACACACACACACACACACACACACACACACACACACACACACACACACACACACACACACACACACACACACACACACACACACACAGCGCTATACTGCACTTATGAGAGACAGATCTCACAACACTGGATATGTTGGAGTTCTTTTCTCTTTTCTCTCTCCCCTTTTTCCAATTGCTTTCAATAAGTTTTGCTTCATCCATCGCGACGTCCTCAATGCTTCAATATGCCGTGCTTTGCACTGATCATAGCCACAGCTCATACAAATCACACACCGCTTCATCTATTTAAAACTATAGCGGCTGCCTGTTGCCTAAAGCCGCGGAGAGGCGAGTTGGGTCCGATAAAAGTGTATGACGCGCTAAATAAGGAGAAAACAAACTAAGAGGCTGGATCATTATAAACGCTGCAGGCACGCGCGCGCACACACACACATTTCTCCATCAGCCAAATATTAATTCATTCACACAATGCCCAAACGTGTCTCCTACAAAAACAAAGCAGGCTGATAAACGGGCAGCCAGAGTTGCGCGCTGCTGCAGCCGGTTTGACCACTAGTCCGTTTTACGGACGTCTGACGGACAGCAGCCAACGCGCGTCAACGGAGACGCGCCCGGTGGAGTCCAGGCCTAAAGGGTAAAAAAGTGTTAGCCTGACTCTCGCCAGACCCTTATCGTTCACTGAGCTTCACATGAGGGTCTGGGTCTGCTTCATAGCGGATACGTGGATACGGCTTGTAAAAAAATCCTTGTATGTGATTGGATAAACCACTTGTCTGTTATCTTGAATGACGTGTTTCTTCAACCACTCACATTGAAGCACGCGATTCAGCACACAACTATCATAGGTTGCCAAATGCCGGCAAGATTTTCCAGTCCAAAACCCGCAAGAATGCCTGAAAACAAAATTCACCCAGAATGATTTCTTGGCTAAAAACGTGATGTATTCAACTTGAGCTATCATGATTCTGTTTATTGTCTTTCTGTTTATTTATTACCTACAAGTCTCTTGGAAAAAAAGTATGCGGGAAACCACCCAACCTGGCAACCCTGCTGCATAGTGTTGTAAACGTTTTTAAAAACTCGTAGACTTTATATCTGCCATCTTGGATTTCTTCCGCTGCAGCGTGAGACACGCCGACGTAACACCGGCAATCCTGATTGGCCGATTATTTTTTGATCTCCTGAAGGACTTTGCTTTGCGCTCGATACCAGACCCATGTGGTTCAGCATGACGGAACTACAAGGGTCTGGCGAGAGTCAGGCTACAAAAGTGTGACAAAAGGCCAAAACATCCATCCATCCATCCTTTTTCTTCCCCTTAATCCATTTCTGGGTCGGGGGGTGGCAGTCAGAGCTGCACCCAGTACACAGAGCACCAGCCCCTCACTGATCCTCCTGCAGGTGCTGAGTCCACAGGAGCTGAGATCTTTCAGTGGGGGCTTCAGGCAAAGTGGGTTAGGGTTTCACATAGGACACCCACAAAATGTGAAACCAGTACATCTTTTTTTATACTCAAGTTAATATTTTTTTTCTTTTTTTTATGACGGAAACCATTGCGTCCGTTACACATTTTTCAAGGGTTGTTTAAATTAATATTTATATATATTTTTAAATTATTCCTGTTTAAATCCATTGATTTCCTGATGTGTTAATCCTGTGTGAGTTCATCTGCCGCTTTTTCAGACTGAGGAGCTTTTCTTTTCGATGTCGCTGAGTCACAGTAGAATGATCAAATCTGAGGCTGATCTGTTGTTTAATATTTCGGCAAAAATGTATTTGTCAATCTTTTCGTTTGATTTTATCCGCAATATGTCTTCAATATGTCTGTGTTTGAAATCTCCTTTTCCAATCTATGATAGAAATGTTTGTTTTTGAGTTATAACCTTTTAAAGTCCAGGTACTTTAATTGACACATTACTGTGAACACACTCTTTGCAGGATTTTCCCGACGACAGGAACCCAGACTGTCCTTCAGAGCCCGTCCCGTGGTTGGTGCAGCCTCTGATCGTGGCTCTAATGGGGCAGATAAGGGTCCGCTCTCACCTTTCGGGCAGGTGGGCAGCGCGGCCGGGACACGCTAGCCCCCACGCACCTCCCTTATCAGCGCGCCCTCTTCGCTAATGAACCCCAGGCCTTTGTCGGGGCCTTTGTGTGGCCGGGGTAATTACACCACCGCCATTTAAGTCGGGAGAAAGTGAGACGGGAGGACGGGAAGGCGGGGGACTAAGGTTTCACCGTGGCGTGGTGGAAGACAGGGGGGGGCATTGTCTTGGCGCAGGGGGGTCCGGGGGAAACGGAGAAGCTTCAAGGCGGAGAGAATGGAGATCGTCTTTCAGCAAGGGAGAGGAGAAGGCGCGAGCAGGAGCTGGGGTAGGAGCTGGGGCAGGAGCTGGGGCAGGAGCTGGGGCAGGAGCTGGGGCAGGAGCCTGGGGCAGGAGCTAGGTCAGGAGCTGGGGCAGGAGCTGGGGCAGGAGCTAGGGCAGGAGCTGGGGCAGGAGCTGGGGGAGAAGCTGGGGCAGGAGCTGGAGCAGGAGCTGGGGCAGGAGCTGGGCCAGGAGCTGGGGGAGAAGCTGGGGCAGGAGCTGGGGCAGGAGCTGGGGCAGGAGCTAGGGCAGGAGCTGGGGCAGGAGCTGGGGGAGAAGCTGGGGCAGGAGCTGGAGCAGGAGCTGGGGCAGGAGCTGGGCCAGGAGCTGGGGGAGAAGCTGGGGCAGGAGCTGGGGCAGGAGCTGGGGCAGGAGCTGGGGCAGGAGCTGGGGCAGGAGCTGGGGCAGGAGCTGGGGTAGGAGCTGGGGTAGGAGCTGGGGCAGAAGCTGGGGCAGAAGCTGGGGCAGGAGCTGGGGCAGGAGCTGGGGCAGAAGCTGGGGCAGGAGCTGGGGCAGGAGCTGGGGCAGGTGGTAAATAGTGCAGTCAGAAAGAAGATGTCTCTAACTGTTTATGTGTGAGAATGTCTTTGTCATTTCTTCCTGAAGTAGAAGTCGAAAAATGCAGAATCCAGCTCACATTTGATCCAGAAAGTGATGCATTATTTTAAAAATCTAAAGACTGCAAAACCTTCCCTGCATTTCTTTCATTTTGTCTGATTTTTTTCTTATTTTCCTTGAATCAAGTGTCCTATTTTGATGGGGATTTGTTCACCTTATTTCAGTTAACTTGATTTAGTATTAAAAAAAATATCTATCCTAAAGTAGTCTCTGAGATCCTGTGAAAGATTTTAATGTCTTTCTACAACAAAGAATGTTGTTAAAATGATTTGGCAAATTAAAGGTCTTACATTGTTCTAAATCATAAAAAAAAAAAATGGGTAAGGTCTTCAAGCTGGGGTACCAAAAAAATATATGTATTATTAATTTCAATTACTAACCTTATTTTTGCCAGACTCTTCCTCGCTGTGACACGGATTCCACCTGCTGGGGTCGAGCTAGAAAGGGTGAAAACTCATGACACACACTTATAAACTTATTTTTCTCTAGTCCCACCAAATGTGTGGGACTATTTTGTTGTTTGTGAATGTTGCTATAACATTGTATGTCATTGTATTGTCAATTCAACTTTAGTACAGACTCTAGGTCCGATAAAAGAATGTATATAAAAAAACATACAGGGAGAAAACTATATTTTAGTTGAGAATAAAACATTTAGTTCAGAAAAGATTTCATATGACTTGTACATGTGACCTGTTACTTGGGTAAACATAAAAGATGTATTTAATTTAACAGACAATATAAAATAAAAGGTTAATTTGCTCTGAATGCTTCCTGTATGACCTGATATGTGTCGTTTCACCTCTGACAGGTCTCTGCTCCTCGAGGCTGGGACTCCCTCTGGGACCTGGACTAACGAGGATCCGGTTCCTAATGACATCCACTGACACAGACCGAACAAAGAACAGAACAGAGACCACACACTTATACACACACACGCACACACAACACACACGCACACACGCACACACACACACACACACACACACAACACACACGCACACAAACACACAACGCACACACACACACAACACACACACACAACACACACGCACACACACACACACACACACAACACACACGCACACACACAACACACGCACACAACACACACGCACGCACATAACACACAACACACACACACACACGCACACACACACAACACACACACACACACACACACACACACACACACGGCTGAAGTTAAAGGCCTACTAAAGAGGCGAGGAAACGGAGTCCTAAACGTATATTTCTGACCATAGGACGGTGCCGCTAATGTGTACAGTAAATATTTTCCAACAATAATATATTTGAAATAGTCTCTCCTCTTGGCATAACTTCAACCAGTGAGATTTTCCGGAAGAGACTCGGTAAACCGGACCAACAGACTGACAGACTGATCCATCCTCGCTGTCAGGTCTGTTTCTGCTGCAGCTGTCAGACTGTACAATGAGGTCGAGTGAGCCTCTACATCTCATTTCACCTGTAAATAGTAAATACTAAAATCATGTACAACACTGCTTTTTCAGAATGTCCACCTTTATACATGTATTCTGCCCATATTGTTATGGTGTGGACTTTTGATTACTTTTCCTTGTTTTATTTTGATATATATTTTAGTTCTGTATCCTGGATTTTGTTTTTGTTAAATAAATCTTATATTTTGGCAGTCCTGCCTTTTGGGTCCTTCATCCTTTTCTGAACGTGACACATATCCTGTTCAATAATACTTAAATAATACTTTTCTGTGTGCATTTTGTGTGCTGCTAATACTACTGACCTGTTTGTGCGCTGCAACAACGACATTTCCCCACCGTGGCACTAATAATTATTCTCTAATAATAAACTAACATTCACTTTTTAAGATGATGAAAGGTCGGACTGATTCCCCTATTTAGAGATAAAATCAGAAACGGTGTCAAGTTTTCGGCCTAAAAATATACAGCGCATAGATTAGAGTAATTACAATGAAAAATACAATAATAATAATAATAATAATGGTCTGTTAAACGTGAAGTGCCAAAGCCGCAGAATGACACCCAAAGCATTAGTTGTTCATGAATGTAAATTTCTGTCTAATAGAACCCGCAGCCAAAGCTTATCTAAAACACAGCCCTTCATGCGTGCCAAAATGTGCAAACGTATTCCTCCCACCCTCGCCTTTATTCAAATCAACAAAGTTTCCTGATACTTAAACAACCTGCATTCATAAATTCTTCCAACTTTTTAAAACCAGTCCAATTGTAAAAGTCATTTGAGTGGCACCGATCTGACAAGTCCTTCAAATCTCACCCCAACTTTTTGCTCTATTTTTTTTTTCTCCGTCAAATTGCGCTATCTTCAATTCAAATCCGCAACTTGTGAAACTCTTGGACTTTTTTTTAAACGTATGTTAATGTATGGACGAGCCAATCACGCGCACTTTGGGGATTTTGTGGAGTTAAATCGTGGCTAATCCTTCGGCGGCGCGTGTCCAAGGCTAATTTAAAAAAGCAGACGTTTTTGACAGGGCCCGGCCTCGAACGAACGGAGCGAAATAATCAAATAACGGAAAAATTCCCGAAGACGAAGGAGAGGGCTGATGATGAAACGTGGGAGACATGGGGGAGAGAGAGAGAGAGTCTGGTTTTGTGTCTGAAGAAAGAAAAGTGAAGCTGGGGATCTAATTGTGCTTTTGACACAGATCTGGAGTGGTTTTTGCATAAATATATTTGGAAAAGCAGATGGGTCGTGTCTGAGCCGGCGGAGTCCTGAAGCCCTAAAGAAGAAGTGGATTCATTACCTGGACTCGAGTTAACGGAATTATATAACGCTTTGATCACAATTGTGTTTGGATTTATTATTGTGTGCTTTAAAAGAACAAATATCACTCAATCAATCAAAGTTTATTTATATTTGAGCCTTTCCGAAACAAGGCACAAAAGATGCCTCACAACCCTTTTAACATATAAATAAATCATAAACTTTAGAATCTAAACATGGGAAAAACCACAATAAGAGCACAAGAAATATTAAAATACATACAAAATAAAATCACACAGGTAGTTATAAACCTTAAATATATTACAATAACTCATAAGATAAGATACACTTTATTGATCTCACAATTAAGTCTTGTGCATGTCACATTTGGCACAGATAGTCAAAAAGACAAAAGTGCGCAACATGTTAAAGGTTAAAATATAGTCTGTGCTGATAAAATTATGTACAATAAAAAAGTGGCACTAGGGATGGGATTAAAATCATAAATAGCTGTAGTGCATTAATAAGAGTAAAGATAAAATCGAAGATAGTAAATATCCTTCAGTTGCGTGCACAGCTAAACGGTTTTTTGCCTAGATTTGAAAACTGCCAGAGTAGACGCCTGTCTCACATTCTCAGGAAGACTGTTTAGATTTTAGTTGCATGAATCTGAAATGCTGCCATCTCATGTTTAGTTCTAATAATAATAATAATTCTTCGGTTTTATAAAGCGCTTTTTTGAACACTCAAAGACGCTTCTCATGTCATCATTCATTCACTCCAAACACGGTGGTGATAAACTACTGTAGCCACAGCTGCCCTGGGGCACACTGACAGAAGTTGTGACTGGGCACCAGCAGGAGTCCAGTCCCTGTGTTCCTCATGGCAGATTAAAAACTAGAATACCTAACTTTGAAACAAAAAAAAATGGCCGTAATAAAAATCTATGTCACTAGTTTCTCACTCCCCGGCCACAGCGAGGGATGGATCCACGGACGTCCACTCTGCCACGGACAGACCGGGCCGGCTGTACAACGAGGTCTGAGGCCACACGAGGCTGGACTGAGGCGACTCCCAGGCGAGGAGCAGGTCCACAAGTACCAAGTAAGTATTAATGAAACTAAAAAAATGTTGTGTAATCTAAATACACTGAAAGAATTGACTTTTGGGTGTACTCATTTTATTGATTGAAATTAGAATGGAACTAATTATTACCTTTTTTTATCTAAAATGCGTTACTAATATGTGATTTAATTGTTTAAGTGCATGCATCGTACAGAAACTTACTGAAACAATGTCAAAGTAAATGCAAAATAAAAAAGCAGTGGGAGCACAAAGCCCAGTCCTGGAGAAAATGCTGACGTTAAGATGTGACAGGGGCCAAACACAGGCGCGTGATGGAACCAAACCGTTTTTTCAGAAGCGAATTTTCTTGCATTTTTAGTTCATCATTTGTGGTTTGAATGTTCAGTACCCCAGCTTTAACCCTTTGACATTCACTCCTTGAAAAAAGCATTGATAATTTTTATTTTTGGGATTTTCTAAGCTGTAGAAGCACTAACAACACAACTTGTTTTTACCTTAACTTTTATTATAGGCCTTTAGCAAATGGTTGAGAGGAAGTTTGACTGTAAAACTAACAATGCCTAAAACAGAGTGAGATGACCCAAAAGAAGAATATTTCCGTCCCAAGCATGCTCTTCAAGTAGATATTGACTTAAAAGGTGATCGACGATATGTCTGAGGATACTATTCTAGGGTCAGAACCGCTGGACTTCCCCACAAAACCCCTCACATTCCTGGCCTGGCCTCTCCCTCCGTTCGCACCCCCCTCCCCCCCTGAGAGCTATCCGTGGCTGGGGATAGGGTGTCTGCGGGACGGCCGTACAATCGCGCCACTCACGGCTTATTCTTCTCCCCTTTCTGCAAATGAAAGAGTCTTTTTAGGCCCAATCTCCTGCGGCAGCTCAATCCTCCGCCACGCAGACAGAATGGAGCTTTCTCTTAGCGCCGAAGCCTCGTCTCCACCGGGCCGTGCGCTCCCTGTAAGCCGCCGCAAATCCGCTCAGCAGTTCTGTGTGTGTGAGGTCCGCGCCGTTCTCCGAGAAATCTCCCAGAATGATTCAGCCTTTTTTTTTTTAGGAGTAAGCTTAACCCATTAGGCAAAAAAAAAAATTATACTGTTTGACATTTGGGCTGCGGGACCCGGGAATATCGTGTGTCATCTTGAACCTGGATGATTGTTTTTTCGTGAAAGGAGAATATTAGGTCTAAGGAGCATCTCTTTAGTATTTTCTCCATTTCTTTGTCAAAAATCACTATCGCCTTTGCCAGATGATGGGGATTTACGAACGCAAAGGCCCCTGGGAATTATGGTTTGACGGCGATAATCTCAGAGTGAAGTCGGGCCTGGTTCTTTATTCTAGTAGTTTTATTAAAGCAGACGTTTTGAGCAGATTTTTTTGGGTTTCAACCATGTTCTGACATTGTTACTCCTGCAAAAACAGATCCGAGGTTGATTTTTTTTACCTTCAGGAACTAGAAACCCCCGCCCCTTCTGTTTAAATCAGGGTTCTCAAACTTATTTGATCCAGGGGGCAGCATGAGGTTGAGTCTGGGTGAAGCTGGACCGCCTTAAGGGGTTATGTGTGTCATGTGTTTGTATGTGTACAGAATATATAAACATCGGAGAAAAAGGATCTATGCAGAGGCTCATTTACAGTCGAGAAAAAATATATATTTGGGCTCAAAACAGAGACAGGAAAAGCAAGAATAAAACGTTTTTTTGGGTTTATAAGTTTTATATTTTATTGTTTTTTTCTGTGACTTTTTATAATCATGATTTTATGTAATATGTCTCCTTTAAGTCAGAAATATATGGGTGCATGTGTGAAAACATGTGTCTGAATTAGTGAAACAGCTCCATCTAGTGGTAGAAGTGATACACCGGGACTGGAGAAAGTGCTTCAGCTGAGGAAGAAAGTCTCGGACACTCGACGGACAACACAAGACTCCACAGAGCTGATCCTCCTTCCACTGCACCTCCTTCCACTGCACCTCCTTCTACTGCACCTCCAACTACTGCACCTCCATCCACTGCACCTCCATCCAGTCCACCAACTACTGCACATCCATCCACTGCACCTCCTTCCAATGAACCTCCTTCCACTGCACCACCAACTCCTTCTACTGCACCTCCATCCACTGTACCTCCATCCACTGCACCTCCATCCAGTCCACCACCAACTACTGCACATCCATCCACTGCACCTCCTTCCAATGAACCTCCTTCCACTGCACCACCAACTCCTTCTACTGCACATCCATCCACTGCACCTCCTTCCAATGAACCTCCTTCCACTGCACCACCAACTCCTTCCACTGCACCTTCATCCACTGCACCTCCATCCACTGCACCTCCAACTACTGCATCTCCTTCTACTGCACCTCCATCCACTGCACCTCCATCTACCTCCTTCCACTGCACCTCCACCACCAACTACTGCACCTCCATCCACTGCACCTCCTTCCACTGCACCTCCATCCACTGCACCTCCATCCACTGCACCTCCATCCACTGCACCTCCATCCACTGCACCTCTGTGGAACAGTCTGCAGGAGAGCTCACAGGTCATAATGTAACAAGTTTGGAAAACAAAAACAATAAAACAGAAGGGCCTAATATTTCAATAAATGTGAATTTTTTGAGAAATATTTTGTTTATCTCTAACATGGATCTATTTTAATAACTGGAGAGGGTGTTACTAGCTAGGTGCTGAAGAAACCACGTGCTCGGGGGATTCTTGCGGTACTGCAGACTGAACCAGACTAAATTCACGTGAGCTACTCAGACATTTTTCCCATAGAACTCAATGTAAACTAAAACAGCGCGACCTCAGCTGACAGAGAACCTGACAGAGAACCTACAGCCTTCATAGAGATGTCATCCTGAACTTTTTTTCTTCTTAAATCCTACGGTTTTCCTCAAATCCACACTTTAGTGCCACAAACAGCTGAGGTCGAGCTGTTTTAGTTTACATTGAGTTCTATGGGACTTTTTTTCTGGATAACCCACATGAATTTAGTCTGCAAAACCACGGCGCCCCCTGTGGCCATGGGTGGGACAGCTATAAGTTAGTAATACCCTATCCAGTTATTATTATAGATCCATGAGAAAAACTGATATTCCTGCGGCCTTCTCGGGTTAAAGACGAGATGGCGAGTGAATCCGGCTTTTATTCTTCCAGAACAGGACTACAATAGAGTTCTTAAAAGCTGCTCGTGTGTCCCGATGGTGTTTTCACAAGTTTAGACTCATTTGCATTCTAAACGCTTTTAATCTTTGTAGAATTAGCATAAGGCTCCACGGATTTTGTATTTGAGAGACAGACTTTCTAAAAGCAGGGATAATAAGGTTTGACTGGAACTTGTGCTTACAGTCGCTCAACTAGGAGTAATGAGAGAATATTCCAAGTGTGTGTGTGTGTGTGTGTGTGTGTGTGTGTGTGTGTGTGTGTGTTTGTGTGTGTGTGTGTGTGTGTGTGTGTGTGTGTGTGTGTGTGTGTGTGTGTGTGTGTGTGTGTGTGTGTGTGTGTGTGTGTGTGTGTGTGTGTGTGTGTGTGTGTGTGTGTGTGAGTGAATGAAAAGGCTCAGGGGTCTCTAGAGCGATTTGCAGATTGTGTTGAAGTTGTAACCTTACAACTGTGGTACCTGGAGAAAGTGTTTGCAATGCACTGCAAGAAGAAGACATTTGTTTTACACAGCGCTTTTCTGGACACTCAAAGACGCTTCACATGACATTATTCATTCACTACAAACACATTGGTGGTATACTGTAGCCACAGCTGCCCTGGGGCACACTGACATAAGTAAGGAAACCAGTCTGTGCAATCGGCCCCTCCGACCACCACCAACCCCTTCACACACACACCAGACTCATTCCAGGCCATGTGGGTGAAGTCTTGCCTGGTGTTCCCCAAGGTCTCCCATCACAGTACTAACCAGGCCCTGTCCTGCTTAGTTACAAAGCTCTGACAGGATCTGGCTTTTACATGCAGGTCTAGCTACAAATGCTGTCTTATTGACCCCAAAATAATTGTTCACTTATGTTGAAATCTCATCAGTGTTTTTTTAATCTCTGAAAAAGCGTTGAATAAAAAGCCAAAGTCCTGGAGCTAAATGTGTGGGTCGCAACAACGTGACCAACGAAAACCAGCGCTGCTCTGTTCCCACTCGTAATGTTCACCGAAGCCAAATGAGAAAACAGAAGGTCAGCCGTAAAGACAGCAGTCAAATACACGAAGAGCCAAAAATCTCTGTGTTTTAAATGTGTGACCTTTGTTTTCCTCCAGCTGCAATCTCTACTGTTATTAGCAGTTCATTTGAAAGGCTTTGCTCAAGAAGGAGTGACGCAGTATTTGTTTGGCATTTAAATATATCTGACTTTTCAAAATACTTCTTGGTAAAAGGAAAATTGTAATCTTTTAAAATATTTACTTTTATAACACTCGTTTTCCGACATCACCGTATCTGGCATCATATATATGTGTATTATTGTCATCATCAATATGTGTGCGTAGTTGTGCGGTGTGTCTGTAGTTATTGGGTGTGTGTAGTTGTGTGATGTGTGTGTGTAGTTGTGCAGCGTGTGTCTAATTGTGTGGTGTGTCTGTCGTTGTGTGTGTAGTTGTGTGGTGTGTATGTAGTTGTGTACGTGTAGTCGTGCGGTGTGTCTATAGTTGTTGGGTGTGGGTAGTTGTGTGGTGTGTGTGTAGTTGTTTGTGTGTGTATGTAGTTGTGTAGTTGTGCGGTGTGTCTGTAGTTGTTGGGTGTGTGTAGTTGTGTGGTGTGTGTGTAGCTGTGCGGCGTGTATGTAGTTGTGTGGTGTGTGTGTCTAGTTGTGCAGCGTGTGTCTAATTGTGCGGTGTGTATGTAGTTGTGTGTGTAGTTGTGTGGTGTGTATGTAGTTGTGTACGTGTAGTCGTGCGGTGTGTCTATAGTTGTTGGGTGTGTGTAGTTGTGTGATGTGTGTGTGTAGTTGTGCAGCGTGTGTCTAATTGTGTGGTGTGTCTGTAGTTGTGTGGTGTGTGTGTAGTTGTTTGTGTGTGTATGTAGTTGTGTAGTTGTGCGGTGTGTCTGTAGTTGTTGGGTGTGTGTAGTTGTGTGGTGTGTGTGTAGCTGTGTACGTGTAGTCGTGCGGTGTGTCTATAGTTGTTGGGTGTGGGTAGTTGTGTGGTGTGTGTGTGTAGTTGTGCAGCGTGTGTCTAATTGTGCGGTGTGTATGTAGTTGTGTGTGTAGTTGTGTGGTGTGTATGTAGTTGTGTACGTGTAGTCGTGCGGTGTGTCTATAGTTGTTGGGTGTGGGTAGTTGTGTGGTGCGTGTGTGTAGTCTTGCAGCATGTTTCTAATTGTGCGGTGTGTATGTAGATGTGTGGTGTGCATATAGTTGTGTAGTTGTACGGTGTGTCTGTAGTTGTTGGATGTGTGTGTGTAGTTATTTGTGTGTGGGTGTGTAGTTGTGCAGCGTGTGTATAATTGTGCGGTGTGTATGTAGTTGTGTGGTGTGTGTGTAGTTGTGTAGTGTGTGTGTAGTTGTGCGGTGTGTCTCTCAGTCTGGTGTGGTGCTGTGACTGCTGAAGACTGCGGCCTCTTTGTCAAACTCTGCACACGCTCACACTGTGTGACATCACCCAGAGAGGAGGGCTGTGTGTCTGTATGTGTGTGTGTGTGTGTGTGTGTGTGTGTGTGTGTGTGTGCGTGTGTGTCTGTGTGTGTGTGTGTGCGTGCATGGGTGCGTCTGTGTGTGTGTCAGTAAGAGTTTATCTGACAGTGCATCAGACGGAGCTTCTACACTGATTCCTGCTGTTCACAAACTCACTCTGACACATCTGTTACTGCTACTGCTGCTGCTGCTGCTGCTGCTGCTGCTGCTGCTGCTGCTGCTGCTGCTGCTACTGCTGCTGCTGCTGCTGCTACTGCTGCTACTGCTACTGCTGCTGCTGCTACTGCTGCTACTGCTACTGCTGCTGCTACTGCTACTGATGCTGCTGCTGCTGCTGCTGCTGCTGCTGCTGCTGCTGCTGCTGCTGCTACTGCTGCTACTGATGCTGCTGCTACTGCTGCTGCTGCTGCTACTGCTGCTACTGCTACTACTGCTGCTGCTGCTACTGCTGCTGCTGCTGCTACTGCTACTGATGCTGCTGCTACTGCTGCTGCTGCTGCTACTGCTGCTACTGCTACTGCTACTGCTACTGATGCTGCTGCTACTGCTGCTGCTGCTGCTACTGCTGCTACTGCTGCTGCTGCTGCTGCTGCTGCTACTGCTGCTGCTGCTACTGCTACTGCTACTGCTACTGCTGCTGCTGCTACTGCTGCTGCTGTTACTGCTACTGTTACTGATGCTGCTGCTACTGATGCTGCTGCTGCTGCTACTACTGATGCTACTGATGCTGCTGCTGCTGCTGCTGCTGCTACTGCTGCTGCTGTTACTGCTACTGTTACTGATGCTGCTGCTACTGATGCTGCTGCTGCTGCTACTACTGATGCTACTGATGCTGCTGCTGCTGCTACACAACTTTCAAACCACACAAACTGAAACCTTGTTGGAGAATCCCCCTCACTCGTCTCTCGATCTCAAAACAGTTCAGTTCCAGCTCTAGTTTTCACATTTATGTTTCCTCCGATTGTTTCTTTAGCTAGTAATGAAAAGTAATGAAATGTGTCTAATTTCAAGCACATTCTGACTTCCTTAACTCTATAAAAGTTTCTCAACTATTTGGTAGATCACCTTTTGAGTCTCTGTATCTACTTCAAGCTTGGAACTGAAATATATCTCTTTGGGGCATCTCACTCACTTGTTTTAGGCACTTTTACCATCAAACTGCCTCTCAAAGGCTTTTAATAAAAATAAAAAAATATCCAGGGGTTCAAAAAAAACCAAAAAAAACCCACATTATTTGTGTTATTATTCTCCCACATCTTAGAAAATCCTAAATAAATAAAAAAGTACATTCTTCAAGGAGTGAACATCAAAGGGTTAACACAAGATAGAAAGGGACAATGAGCCAAATTATCTGATTTAAAAACAATATACAACAAATGTCTCCCTTGGAATGAAAAGGATAAAGCAACTGTTTTTGATAAAAGACTAAATGGATTTGTCTCATTTGGAGAATCTTGTTTTAAGACTTTCAGAATAAACTCAAATTAAGATTAAAAACCACTCAATTCAAGCAATTATCAACTCATATTTTTCCTATCATCTGAAATGTTCACTGCAAAAAGTAATGAAAATTAAGTCAAAAATTGCTCAAATTTGGCTAAATGTATCTTATTTGAAGCACATTTTGACTGCCTTAAAACCAAATTTGCCTGTGGGACAATGAGCAAAATGTAACCTCATATTTTATCTTTTTTGGCAGTGTTGACATCGAATTTGTGAACGCAATCTCCATCTTTCTGAACCGCAACAGTCCAGTGTAACCATGGCTGCTTGTCCATTCCCCCTGCGTCCCCGGACCCTCTCTGGAGCCGTCTGTGTCCATCAAGCGCATCTCCTCCATCTCTCACTTTGGGCCTTGCTCGCTCAAATAAACACTACAATCAAATCTAAATTCGTCTTTTTCGCCTGGCGAGCTCTATCCAATCTGCCCGGCCCCCGATAGCAGGACGGGGGTCTCTAGAGGACTGCAGGAAAATAAGGCAAACGTTCCAAGCGTCAACAAGAAAGACAGAAAGACAGACAGGTCCCGGGCTGACCGCCAGATGAGAGGGGACAGGCTGAGATGGGCTGAGATGGGCTGAGATGGGCTGAGATGGGCCGGGGCGAGGCGGAACCAGGAGAGGAGCGCCTTCTCAATGCACTTTTCTTTGATCCCATTGGACGGACCGACGGTTCTGCGGATTTTTGTACAGACCAAACCGTGGCGAGGTCTGTACAAAAAGACCAAGGTCTGATATTTCTCTGTACAGACCGAGCAAGCGAGGTTAATAATTTTTTATTATATTACTATTTTTTATTTATGCCATTAACGATCTCCGACTTGGTTTTCCTAATCGTGTTTTTACCTTTCTGGTCTGCAACAAAGTTGTCAATCTCTTCTTGACTGTTAGGAGTTGTGTTTTCGTCGTTATTTGCTGTTATTACTTCCTCTGGCTCTTCCAACTCGTCCGGATAATAGAATTCACTGAGAATGCTCATAGTCGTCGCCCATTATTTATTATTTTACCGAGGAAAGATATCAAATGTGATACGCGCTGCGGACCAATTGTCATGGTAAAGGTCCGAGATGGGAAAATATCAGACCGCAAATCAGAGCGCGCGTACGGTCCAAGTCATTTAATAAAAACACTGTATTTAACCTCCTTCACCATGGGTGGATATATTTACTTTATTAACAAAATGTATTTGATATGTTTAATATTTGTGAATAAATTGGATCGTGTTTTTACTACTGCATGTGAGGTGTGGCAACAAGTTATTGCCCCCGCGACCCGGCAACGAATGAAGTGGAAGAAAATGGAATGGAATGGAGGTGTGGAAACAAGTTATTGATAAAATACTAATAAACTTTTTGATTTGTGAGTACTTTGTCAACTGTAAGAAACCTACTGAGCTTCAAAGATCATTTAAGATTAGGGCTGTCAAAATTGTCGCGTTCATCTGGAGCGGCTCTGTTTATATTTTTTTGACTAATTCACTTCATTAGTAAATTCTCTGGATCAATGAAATGCATCTGGATAAACAAGGAATAAAAATGTTCCGCCGATCCACGATTTACAACTTTTTTTCGCTGAAAACGTGATTTCTGTTAAATGTGTGACCGCGGGCACTTTCTGTTGTTTGCATACTCGAACGGCATTCACATCCTCCGCTCTGAGCCCAGGGCAGCTGTGGCCGCTTTGAACCATATACGCCGCGGACAGGACCATAGACGCTGCGGACTGGACCATAGACGCTGCGGACTGGACCATAGAAGCCGCGGACTGGGCCATAGACGCGAGGGCAGGACCATAGATGCCGCGGACTGGACCATGGAGGCGAGGGCAGGAGCATAGACGCCGCGGACTGGACCATAGACGCCGCGGACTGGACCGTAGACGCCGCGGACTGGACCGTAGAAGCGAGGGCAGGACCATAGACGCCGCGGACTGGACCATAGACGCCACGGACTGGACCATAGACGCCACGGACTGGAGTATAGAGGCCCCGGGTAGGACCACAGACGCCGCGGACTGGACCATAAACGCGAGGGCAGGACCATAGAAGCCGCGGGCCGGGCCATAGATGCACGTTCAAAACCAACCTAGTTTGTTGCAAGTGCGGTCTCACCTTGTCTCCCCACGAAGAGTAACCAAACTCACAAAATTAAAGCTCGGGTACCAACATTTTACCCATGCATTTAACAATGCATGTTGGTTGTGCACCAAAGTAAAATGATGTGAACAAATCAGCAAGAGGGAACGAGAGCCCTGGGAGTCATTATTTGACTTTTTGGGTAGAGAGTGGTGTTTTTATATATTTTTCTACACATTTAGTGCCACTTTGTTGCCGAACTCTTGTTAACTCATTGTATTGAGAAATATTTGGGCAAGTAACTTTTGACATTGGGCAAGTAAAATAAAAATGGTACTTGCACGACAAAGCTTAATGTCAAGGCCGGTATATAAATATATATACATTCTCCAGTTGTGTAATGTACTATTGGTAACTAGGGCTGGGCAATAAATCGAATTTAGGCAATTAATCGGCTTTTGAAAAAATCGAATTTGTGAAAAATGTTAAAATCGTGAAATTGAATGAAGGATATTGTGAGAGTTCCAGCATCATATTTGCAATATCAGCACAGTCTGTACAAGACTTTTATAATATGTATTAGGGAAAACAAATTAAAAATAATTTTGAAACTTAAATATTGAGCGGCTTTATCAAAAAATATTTTTAAGGGCAAAGTCTGTCTTTGGTGATTGAAAATCGATTAAATATCGAAATCGTCCAAAGCAGGAAATAAAATCGAGATAAGATAAGAGCACAGAGACTCCTGGATGCGATCTCTGAGACGTCCTGACAGAAGGCCGCTCTGAGGAACCAGATCACAGCTCTGCAACAGGAGCTGCAGCAGGAGCAGCAGGAGAAGGAGTCACTGAGGAGTCAGGTGACCCAACTCCAGTCAGATCTGAGTGAGAGAGACCAAGCCACAGTCACAGCCCAGAGACATGTGGAGCAGTTAGAGACAGAGACGCAGAAGCTGTCAACAACAATGGACTCTCTCACGTCTGCCCTGAACCAGGAGAAGAGTCTCACCAGTGAAGCTGAGCGCAAACTGCAGGAGAAGGAGAGAGAGACGCACGAGCTGAAGATACAAGTGTCCGCCCTAAGATCTGCCCTGGACCAGGAGAAGCAGGCCACCAGAGAGGCCCAGACCTCCCAGACTGCTCTGCTGCAGCTGGTAGAGGAGCTCCAAGAGAAGCTTCAGACTGGACAGGAGCAGATACAGGCCTTCAAAGCACAGTGTGAGAATGTCCAGAATGAGCACAACAAGGAGCTGGAGGACAAAGAGTGTGAGATCCATCATCTGAAACAACAGAAGGCTTATGCTTTTTCTGCACAAGTGGAGGAAGCCCGAGAAGATGTGTGGGCAGAGATCGCAGACCTTAAAGTCGCCAACTTTGACCTTGAGGTGATGAAAAGAGACAATCAAACCCAGGCCCTCCAGGATACCCAGAGGTCCGAAGAAGAAAAAAAGTCTGAAAGGTCAGGTGACCGAGCTCAGACAGGTCCTGCTCGATGAGAAACAAGAGACTGAGAATTTGTGGAGTAAGGAGGAGGAACTAAAGAGCAACAATATGAAAATACTACGGAACGTCCTGCCTGCAACAGAGACGTCAAAGAAAGTCCTCACGGAGAAGCTTCAGCAGCTCCACCGAGAACAGCTGTGTTCAGAGAAACAGAGCTGGCTGATCCTGGAGCAGCAGGTGCAGAAGCTGTCTGAGGACCTGACCTCCTCTCAGGACTACAACACTGCTCTGGAGCTCCAGGTTCATGAGCTCCAGGACAAAGTCAACGGGCTGCACAAGAAGAAGAGGAGGAGGAGTTGGTGGTGTTTCTAAAACAAACCCAGACATTAGTGTTAGACGTGGTGTTCAGCTAGCATCACGCTAACATGACACTAAACTAGATCTTTGTCTTGTCGAGTCATATGTGACTTAAGGAGGTATGATCTTAGTCAGTGAACATACAGTACCTTGCGAAAGTATTGAACCTTTCAACATTTCGCCACATTTCAAGCTTCAAACATGAAGATTTTTTTTTTTTTTTTAAATGTCAAGAATCAACAACAAGTCGGACACAATCATGAAGTGGAACAAAATGTATTGGATAATTTAAACTTTTTTAACAAATAAAAAACTGAAAAGTGGGGCGTGCAATACTATTCGGCCCCCTTGCGCTAATACATTGTAGGGCCCTCTTTTGCTGCAATTAAAGCTGCAAGTCGCTTGGGGTATGTCTCTATCAGTTTTGCACATCGAGAGACTGGAATTCTTGCCCATTCTTCCTTGCAAAACAGCTCGAGCTCAGTGAGGTTGGATGGAGAGCATTTGTGAACAGCAGTCTTCAGCTCTTTCCACAGGTTCTCGATTGGATTCAGGTCTGGACTTTGACTTGGCCATTCTAACACCTGGATACGTCTATTTGTGAACCATTCCATTGTAGATTTGGCTTTATGTTTTGGATCATTGTCCTGTTGGAAGATAAATCTCCGTCCCAGTCTCAGGTCTTTTGCAGACTCCAACAGGTTTTCTTCCAGAATGGTCCTGTATTTGGCTCCATCCATCTTCCCATCAATTTTAGCCATCTTCCCTGTCCCTGCTGAAGAAAAGCAGGCCCAAACCATGATGCTGCCACCACCATGTTTGACAGTGGGGATGGTGTGTTCAGGGTGATGAGCTGTGTTGCTTTTACGCCAAACATATCGTTTTGCATTGTGGCCAAAAAGTTTGATTTTGGTTTCATCTGACCAGAGCACCTTCTTCCACATGTTTGGTGTGTCTCCCAGGTGGCTTGTGGCAACTTTAAATGAGACTTTTTATGGATATCTTTGAGAAATGGCTTTCTTCTTGCCACTCTTCCATAAAGGCCAGATTTGTGCAGTGCACGACTGATTGTTGTCCTATGGACAGACTCTCCCACCTCAGCTGTAGTTATCTGCAGTTCATCCAGAGTGATCATGGGCCTCTTGACTGCACCTCTGATCAGTCTTCTCCTTGTTTGAGATGAAAGTTTGGAGGGACGGCCGGGTCTTGGTAGATTTGCAGTGGTCTGATACTCCTTCCATTTCAATATAATTGCTTGCACAGTGCTCCTTGAGATGTTTAAAGCTTGGGAAATCTTTTTGTATCCAAATCCGGCTTTAAACTTCTCCACAACAGGATCTCTGACCTGCCTGGTGTGTTCCTTTGTCTTCATGGTTCTCTCTGCGCTTTAACCCCTTGAGCTTGCGGGCAAACGAGAAAAAAAGTACTTGCTGCTGGCAATAGCAGATGCATTTCGAACTTCATAATCCACAAGAGAGGTTCCATGAAAAGATAGGAGCAGTTTTCAGTCCACAGGACCCTTGTGAAAAAGACGAACCGCATCCACTTGCACAGGGTCCTTTTTCCCTTGTTGTTGATTAGCATGGCTAGCACAATGAGCTAGCTCTGAATGATTGATGTGTCTGAGTAGCCAATGAAAATAGCTTTCTATTGATGGGTGGGACTTGTAGGAACTCCTTTCATTTTCACAGTAAAAGCGTGCGTAAAGACGCTGTTAATACTGCTGCGCATATATTATATGCATTTACACTACTAAAAAATTAATTTTGAAAAAATTTAAAAGAAAATCACACAGATTTGTAACTTATAAGTACCAAAGCTAAAAAATATGCTTTTTATGATGGTGAAATGTTAGTAAAGCAGTTTGGCACAATTTGGCCAAATTGGTTCCGAATGGCACTACTTGATAAAAAAGAGAAACTGCATAAAAACTATAAAACTTGGAAGTCTGAAACTTTACACAGTTGTTGTCAACAACACAATGAACAAATCAGCGTTGAAAATTTTCTTCTTCCAATGAAGTAGGCTTTTTTAGGGCATTTATACATTGAATTTTTTAGGCGAGGCTAAAAAAAACAGGTTTTTTTCCCAAACTTCAAAGGATGGAATGACATACATTATTTCAGTGTATATTTACATAAACTAGAAGGGCCTAGCTTTAAAATGATGCATCACACAAGCATGTGAGATGTAAGATGTGTTTTTAAATAAGCAAAGACATTTGGGTATGCCAAACTTTTGTGCACGAGCCAAAACAGATGTAGGAGTTTAAGAGGTTGAACCCTGAGACTATCAAAGAGCAGGTGCATTTATACGGAGACTTGATTACACACAGGTGCATTCTATTTATCATCATCAGTCATTTAGGACAACATTGAATCATTCAAAGATCCTCACTGAACTTCTGGAGTGAGTTTGCTGCACTGAAAGTAAAGGGGCCGAATAATATTGCACGCCCCACTTTTCAGTTTTTTATTTGTTAAAAAAGTTTAAATTATCCAATCAATTTTGTTCCACTTCACGATTGTGTCCCACTTGTTGTTGATTCTTGACAAAAAATTAAAATTGTATATCTTTATGTTTGAAGTCTGAAATGTGGTGAAATGTTGAAAGGTTCAATACTTTCGCAAGGCAAGGATCCAGAGGATCTAACATGACTTCAGAGGTTTCACCTGCTTTAAGATGTTTCTGCGGAGTTTTCACACATTTTAATTTAAACAACAACTTTCTGCCAATGGGATAAGAAACAATTTCTTGTTTCATTGGCAAAGTAATTGTTTACAGTTAAAGTTTTGTGTAACTGGTCAGGAATCTCTAACAAGTCAAACTTCAGATATGTGTTTCAGTGCATAAACCAAAGGGAACGTACTCTTACCCTTTATCTTGTCGAGCGATGAGCAGCTTGATGAGGTGAAGCTTTTCCTTTTCCTCAAAAATAAACAAATGCAATCTTTTAAACTGTGTCAAGACTTAAACTTTGTGATTCTGTTGAGAAACCAAATACAGATGACTTTATGTCCAAATGATGATTATGTCCCGTGGATCGTCCCTCCATCTCTTCCCTTGACCTTGTGAGTCCAGTGCAGGACCCTAACCCACCTGAGGTTATCCAAGAACCTCCTGCTCCAGAAACCCCAAATCTCCAACACTTTAACAGTCGTTCAGAATCTGTCTGTTCACTAGAGAAAGCCGTCACATCAGAGTCCCAAGAGTCTCCATGCCCCCCATGTAAGTAAGTAAGTAATCTTTATTTATATACCGCCTTTCACACACCAGAGTCACAAAGCGGTTTACAATTGTTATTTGTGGGCACTTGTCCTCTCACTCCACACAGAGATGGGAGCGGGGTCGCCGCTCAGAAAGGCCCTGGTCCGACCGGGAGTCGAACCCAGGACCTTCTTGCTGAGAGGCGAGAGTGCTATCCACTCAGCCACCGTGCTGGGAACCATCTCCTCAGCCCTGCTCCAGAGTGACTGGTTTGTGGAGGCAGCGGTGAGAAATCTCAATTTCCAACTCAAAGACTTCAGTGACGAGGACCCAGGCAGACGACCAGGACACTTCTTCTCTTGAGTGTTTAAAATGTTCAGGATCAGGAGGAGCAGAGTGTCGACTGGTCATACCTCAGATCCACATCCTAAAAACACATCACTCCTGCCTGAAGTCATCTTCACTTACTGTAGGAGGTCACAGCAGAAGGGCTGGGAACAAAAAAAAACTAAATTAAGACAAACAAAAAAAAGCATGAAAAAATACAAAAATATCAAAATTAAATAAGGTTGAATTAATGAAATTCAACAAAAACAAAGGACATACATTGAAAAAAGGGCTGGCTACAAAAATAATGTATTTAAGACTAAAAACAAAGCATGAGTGTGTGTTCAGATGGGTCACATGTTATTGATACTGTGTGTCGCAAAAGTACTAACACAGAAAAACAGAAAGATGAAAGCAAAATTACCAGACAATTTCCGAGATTGTGCTGTACTTTTTCTCCATCCACCGTTCCATCAACTCTGACACTCTACCCTGACCCTGCAGAAAAAAAAGCAGCCCCTTTACAACACATAAAAGCATATTCCACAAACTCTATCAGACACCTAATTCTGGGTGGTACTATCAAGTCCTAGTTTCATTCTGATTCAGACTTAGGTCCTGGTTCAGTCCTGATTGAGTCCTGCTTTAGTCCTGGTTCAGTCCTGGTTACCTCCATCACCTTTCCCCCGCTGACTCCCTGCTCTCCCTTTGACTGGTGATGAGCAGAGCGTGTTCCTGACTTTTTTTATCTGTAAAAAGCACACGTTTCGAGACGTTCTGACCCCGTTCTGAACAAAGCCTCACGTCGAGCCGACAGAAAAGAAAAGACCACGCATTTACTCTTCAAATGTGGCTGAAACGTGCTCTGCTCCCCAAAGAGACCCAACCACATGCTCCCATTATGGAACTCTAATGGCCAACTCTAATGATCAAAGCAATGTATTGATTGAAGGAAGCGAGGCCAATTCTGGTTATGATTAAAATAACACCAACTGCTGTGATATGTTTATAGCAGAAAGGTCCTGTTTGGAGAGTGGAATCGAACCCAGGACCTACTGAAGAACGAAGAAGGCCATTTAGTTCACCAGACTTTTCCAGGGTCCGACAAGATGGATGTTAAAACTATTTCTACTGGATTCAGACTATTTCAATTCAATTCATTTTGTACAGCCCCATTGATCGCGGAGGACTTTACAAAACCGTCGATTCGCAAACACAGATCAGAGAATCAAAGAGTTCAAAGACAGGAATTTTAATGACAAAAACACATGAAGGGGCAGAGACCAATGTCCATAAATGTTGATTTATTTTTGGGGGCTTTAACACGGGTTACAAAGTCCATATGGATTAACTCTACAGCTACAATAGTGCCGAGATTTTGGGACTCAATCAAAAAACAAATGTCAGTACATATATTTACAGTTAACGGTTGGATTGCAGAGGTCCTACGCTTTACAGCGAGTTATAGTGGGACTCTATGG